ACCGTGGAAACAATACTCCAAAACTACTTAACACGATATCAAAGAGTTCCTTGTCCGGCAAGGACTTAAATGGTCTGAAGGAATTCTAAAAAGCATTAGAGTACACTGAAACAACAATACGATTATTGGACATCAACATTAAAAATGTTCAGAAACTTTAAACCCAAGTAATATATTATGCAATCAATATGAATATTTTATACCAACCGTATGAGAGTATAAAACAATTGCTTTATAATAAACCTGCTACTTATTTTCATAGTCCATATTATATACGTTAATATATTAGGTACACTATACCAGTGGTTCTCAAACTTCTACGACCACGGCACCTTTAAAATATTGTTTGTGTTTCCTGGAACCCCAATGTCTAAACCAACTCAACTACAATTTTTTTAAATAAAAAAAGGAAAACCAATACTCTAAACTCTTAAGTCCAAAAAATGTTTTAACGAAACTGTTAATGACTTTTCTTTATTGAACTTAGTTTAAAAAAAAAAAATGTTCAATTAAAAATTTTTTTTTAAAATAACAAACATTAAATAAACATAATTTTCTCAATAATCACATACATCTTTCAACCTTGACATTGTCCCACGGAACGCACTTTGGAAAACTCTGCCCTATACCACGGCTATACAGTTTACTGAAATAATATTATTTTTAAAACATATAATATAGTTATTAATTCCAAAAGTTAGTTAGTCTCTATTTTTTGCAATAACAAAATTGATTGAATGATTTAAAATCACCTTTAGTACTTTCAACCATACACCAATTTGATACTTTTAACATGTCTAGCAATTAATATAAGCATACCTACATCAATTTTCAAAACTTAATTATTATTTTTACAGATTTTTCTTTCAGGTTTATTTTATCTTACTTTGTTTTTCAACTATGTCAAGACTTATCAGTTTTTATTGAAATTGATTAGTTCATAAGACTTCGTCTTCCAGTTAAAATTAAATCATTTTCCAACTATGTTATGTCCTCTGTAATACGGATTTTTCAAAATAAGAAAGTGATAAGCCTTGTGCTGTTCCTCTAATCCGACCAGACATTTTCTATTCAATAAGATTTCTTTCCGAACATTTCTTTTCTACTCACAACAAAAAATTATCTAGCGCGATTAACAAATCTAATAGTTATTACTACCACTGGATTTAATACTTTTTTTTGGCACACAACTATTTTTCTTACGATTCTCATATTATACACCATCAGCTCTGGAAACTTAATCTTTCCAGGCGCCAAATAGTCGCTTTTTTGTGACTTACATTAGGTCACAACTTCCTGCCTTTCTCTTTATTTCAAATCACTTTAAACTTCTCTCTTTCCTCGATTACCCTCTAGTCACTGCTAAGAAACTACGGGACCTTAAGCACATAATTTTCCATTATCTTTCTGTTTAATATAAAACACTTGTTTTTATTTGAACACAAATAGTATTTTCCAATCGTACTGCCAGTATAACACCTACATAATATATATGTATAGTACAATTCCTGTTTTCCGTATGGCTTTTCTGACTAATGATTTTCGTATTTTCTCATAAAATTATTTTTCTTGTTTAAATAAACAAGAACCTTGCAAATTTAGAACTTTGATTTTTGGTCTTATCCAATAATGATCTTTCCTCGATTTATTCATATTGTGTTTGTACACAAAACAAATTATCTGATACGATTCTGACACTCTCATTTACGTTTTTTAAATTCCATGTAAGTATATATACAAAAAGTGTAAAAATGATGAAATCGTTTGTTATAAAAATGCGCTTAATACGAGGCAGTCAAAGAATAATGATAATAATTAGGTTTTTGTTTCACAAAACTTTATTATCTGTGACTGCCATATATTTCAGATTTAAGGAGTGTTATTTAAATTGATAGTAGTATAATATGTTTACGCAACTGTAAGTGTAATAATTTATTTAAAATATAAAATAGTTCTATATAATAAATATCGTATTAAAATCGAAAATGAGATGAAGTCATTACGTTACAGAATTAGAAATTGAATAATTACTCAAATAAAAATAAATGCCACAAAAGTGTAATAAATAGTCTTAAAAAAATACAACAACCATATCAATTTTTGCATAAGCCACTGATATGAGGTACTGTTACAAATTAGGTAAAACAATAACTATTATAATTACACAAAACAATAAGTTTATAATTTATCAGTGAGAATGTTCATGATTGGATTTTTGCAAAACTATAAAAATATCCATAAAATAACAATAAATATCATGATTAGAAAAGTACATTTTCAAACATTATTCCCTAAAAATTGACAACAAAAAATAATGTAAGATTTTATATAACTATATTTATTACCTACCTAATGCACTTTCTAAATAAATTTTTTTCATAGTTGCACATTATTTGAGTGGGAAATTATTACTGTTGTAACTTTAAATAAAATGCAACATAGTACATTATGAAGTAAAATCTAAGTAAAATAGTGAAAACTGCAAAGTAACTAACTAACGACTTTATCTTATTTAAATTCAAGCATAATATATTGCATAGGATAAAATTCATAAATTTCATTTTATTATACACGCTAAGTAAATATTATGAAAATTCTGGGTACATGACATATGTACAATGTACTACCTTATAAATTATGTAAATATGGTTAATTTAATTATATTATGGAGGAAATTATTTTTAGCATTTTTGAATAATATACAATGTAATATAATATAATACCTATGTCTATACATCTATATATATCTATGAATACTTTTCGTTAGATTTGTAGTTTTTTTTTTTGTGTTCATGATATTGATTATGTCAAAACTTTTTGTCAAACTTCCATTGTTATATTTTTCAAAAAAAAAAAAACAATAAGTATTATCTTTGTGTTTGATATTTTTGATTTTACGATAGATATAGTTGAAGTTCGAAATAAAATAGTGGAAAGTCACGATACAGCATTTAATGTTAAATTCCAACAATGGAGTCTGTGCGTCATTTGATGTTTATAATCGTCAATCCTGCAGTTGTTAAATAGAATATTAATAATATATCGGGGCAAATGACGCAAATATAGAAGGGAATTTGTAGTATAACCGACGAATAAATTAGCTTAACCAATACTCCCCTCTGCGTTTACACAACCGTTTAGTTTGCGTTTCGGCGTTTCTTGTGAATTCAGACACAAGCCAACTATTATTATATACACCCTGCACAGATGTAATGTACCCGTACAGGCGATAATGACTTTTTGTCGAGTATTTGATATCGTTCTCTAAGTAGGTTTTTTCATTATTCATTTTTCATTTATGTTACATACAAGTCAATTACATTTTTGACAAATATAATATGTAACAATCAGCTGTGCCCATCTATCAAAATTAAGTGATGGGATCAATTTTTGGCAAAAAATAAAATAAAAACCAACAAAATTGTTTTAGTAGCATAATAAAATAAAATATAATATAAAATAAAAATGAAATAAAAACTTTACTAGTCTTATTGTGGACGATGATGGTATTGTCTTCTATCAATCAAATCTTTGATTTCCGGGGGCCCATAAGCAAACGGAAAAATGTATGATTAAAAATCACGTAGGTCGTGAGGACGTTACTTGACAAGTAGTATGACTATCGAGTCACTTGTAATTTTGTAAATAATTTGTGAATAATTATGCATTATATTAACTGTCAAACTGTTAAAAATGTTAAAATATGTTATCAGTAAGTTAGATGACCTTGCATATACACATTATTAAAAAAAAAAAAAATTAATAATTAAAAATATACACTTTATACCCAGTGTTATTGTCTGTATAATAAAATAGTTGTTTAGTATTTACATAAAAAAAAATGCTAGAGGGTGCCACGTCCCCCCTTGGCACCTGCTAATCCTAATGAGCACCGTTGGTAGTTGGTGACAACTGTTATTAAGCAAACTGAGTAAATATACTAAGCAGACTAACAAACCATAATCGGTAATATTCATTGACATTATAATAATAATTAATAAAGATCTGTGTAGAACAGCATTACGAGCGGTGTGCGAACATCTCGCAGTGATGTAAGCTGTCTTGAACTCAAAATACAACTATCTATATTTCTATATATCATACCATACTACCCCGCACTACCATACATTGAGCCACTCAGTCACCGAAAAGAGTACTCTAAGTTTCCATGTTCAGTGTCAAATCACTTATTGTCATTAGTATAAGCTGATCTATGGTAATATTACAACAGGGCTTATATGTACTATGTACCCCGAGACACAAAATGGGTTTGAACGCGGACCAGCAAAATGTTGCCTGGTTTTTAACACGAAACCCGAAATATTCTAACTTTGTTTGACGCCCTGGGGACTGAGTTCTGACGTTATCTCTATAAAGACTTTATCGCAATTCACAATAGTTCCTTATAACTACAAGCACCATACAACTATGACGTAGTACATGGTTATTAAACACTCCGCAGACCACCATCAAGTTATTTAAGTCTGTTTTATTTTTAAAATCTTATACGTTACTAATGACCTTTGTTTTTCGTCAAACCTATGACCACGACCTCGCTTTTCTTTCCAAACGTTTTCCTCACACGGAGCTACTCCCAGGAAACCCAGGTCAATTTATCAAGCCCTGTACGTAAGCAACTCACTTCTGGTCGATATTTTTTAGTGTTATTATTCCACCTTTGTCAACGAGTTTGAGCTGCACAATCTTGCTATGTTTTTCGTCAATGTTTCCTAGATAAGACTACTGCCTTTAATCTACTACAAAATGTTAATGCCAGAACCGTCACTATTGTTCTCATGTCGTATTAACACTCACAAGCTACGCTCCAACCCATAAACTATACCTACTTAAATATTATAAGATAATAGGGTTATTAGTAATTAAAGTAATAAACGATTGTTTTGATCGATTATGCCACGCGTCGCAGTATAATATTATTGTTCTATCGACAAACCGACAAGCGATTTCGGGTAGGTCGCAGTTGCGTGTACGTTACTTGCCTGGAACCGTTGAAATGGCCGGCGTTGACGAGCCTGTAGACTTGTAGTTCCACACGTCTGTCCAACCCTGGGTCCAGCGTGTACCAACAATAGTTTGGGCCGGACAGCGCGGGAGATTTGATCTGTCCGAACGTCGAGTTTGAACGGGCCAACAGCATATCGGCTTTTATTGTGACGTTGCACACTGAAACATAAGGAAGACGCTTGTCGTTAGATTTATTATAGATATTGTTATATCGAGTACAACATATATATGAACTCAATATTATTGTAAAAGCCAAAGACAATAAAATTTCCTTCAACAAAATCGATACAAAGTTGAACAAAAGTGGGCAAGTTAATGAAAAAATTTACTTTAAATGTTAAAGAAAAATAAACGCGTAAGTATAAGTTAATAGTTAATTAACAATATATTTTACTGTAAAAGTTTTAAGTTATTATGGAGAAAAATAATAACTTATTAACTCAGTTAAAAATAAGTTGAATCATAATTTTTTTTTATTACCACCTGAGTAACAAATATTGTGTTACTTAAGTGTTTTTTTTTTAATAATAACTAAATATTTAGTTATACTTAAATAGGTATACTATACCATTATACTTGGATACTGCCATAGCGCATCAAGTAATATTACACATTTGTGTCATTTTTATCAACAAAATGAGGAATATTTGTTAGTTTATTGATGCTTAAGTGAATTACATGTACACAATGTCAGATAATTTAACAACAAATAATTAATTAATTAGTTATAATTACTGTATAATATATATTAATATGCATAATATTTAAACATTTTAAAATTAATTAACTGAAAAAACTTAAGTAGTTTTTACTTGCTACAGTGGATTCGCTAACTAGTTAGGTAGTTAATTAACTATTCAATTGATTAGAGAATTATTCAACTAAGTGGTTGGTAAGTTTAAAAGTTAAAAAAAAATTATTCTAGTTAATAGTTTAATACTTCATGACCTGCCTTTGTTATTATATAGTTAACGTTGATCCGAATGTGTACTAAATGTTTATGTACATCATATTATATTATTACGAAACTATCGAGTTATTGTAATATCGATTTCGGGTGCAAAAATGTAGGTACAAGATGGTCAAATTATACATGTACTTCTTTAGTTTATATTTATAGCAAAATGTATTTTCAACACTCCTTATTCTATAGGTAAGTAGCTAGTGTATAGTTGTAAGCGCGTCTCTTTGCCACCAGCCTTATTGTGTTTAAGTACAATTATTTGTAAATAGTAACCATTATTGTGGTGAGCTCTCTAAAAATTTGCCATATCGAATGGCAAGCTGCAACGCAATAGCTGCAATAACGTACTAAAATTCCCGGAAGTAAACCACGCCACCACGGACTTATGTGTAGTGTTTCTAATAACATCTAATGAGATGAACATTATTTGTGATCATGATCTTGACAATTTATTACCAAAAAAGCGATAGTTTTTTTAGTATTTTTGATATTTAACGTTATAAACTCGTATTAGTTATTTAGCTTCTACGAAGGTAATGCTATAAAATATGAATAATGAAATATAAACCATTATTGTACATGATAAATTGTTTTTAGTGGAGATGGTGCGCTAGGCTCAATTTCTAAGGATATTTGATAATTTATTAGTTTACCATAAGTAATTTTTTTTCTATAAGAAATTTGGTCGGTTGAAAATCGAATCAATTTATGCCAAAAACATGCCTAACAAATAAAATATTATTATAACTTATATTATTATTATTATTAAGTTATGAGTCTATAATAGGAAAGTTTCATAAAACGGCGGAATATGTTTGTACCTTGTGGTATTGATAGCCTTAAATTAGTTCAAATAAATTGTGTATGAGAAATGAAAATTAAAGTAATAGTTGAATGTTCCAAGTTTCTACACTTAATACTTTTGAATTAAAACAAAATAACATAGATAATTTGTAAAGAAAATTTCATAATTGTGTGCTTGAATACCCAATACTACCAACTTTTAACGCTCATTAAAAATGTATGTCGCTTAAGTTAAACTTTTTTTTGATGCTATGAATGAAAATTGATGCTTAATATTGTATTGAACGATCGAGTTATTTTATTTACAAAGAAAAAGTGTGACATTTATCAAAAGAAAAGATAAATTAATAATAAATGAATATTTAGTGAATTTTTCTAGTCATATTGGTGTTTTCCGAATATTGTTTTTATTTTGATAGAAATAGTACAAACTTGTAAACTAGATTCAATTTGCTACTAAATACCAATAAACTACCCTCGAAATTAAAGATTTAATCAGTTTTACTTAAAAAGTAATAAAATAACTTTCAAAAACACACAAACACATCGCAAAACCAATTCATTCATCGAAGCACTCAGAATGTAAATACACATTATATTCGAGCGACACTGCGAAAAACCAATCTTGTATTATTAGGTTTAATATTAAAGTAGAATTAACTTATCATCACATTTAAACTTAAGAACATTATTTATGTTTGTAGGTAATTGCTAATTGTTATACGATACTTCAATTTTACTATAAGATGTATGAGAATTTTGAATTATAATATTTGACACCCAAATAACTTGTTATAAAAAATTTAAACATCGAAAAAATGATAGAATAACACAGATAAAAAATAAAAAATAAATAGTATTCATAATATTTTCATTTAATTAATTTAGTTTAATTTTCTTACAGAGAAACGTTGAAAGTTTGATAATAAGTCAATTCACTCTCATAAAGCTAATACAAGATGAGTTCTGCGGAACACAAATGAGGTATGTTGCACGTAGGTCAGAGAGATAAAATAAATAGTGCACGACATCCTTTTAAGTAACTCAATTTATTTTTTTTTTTTTGCATCAATTTCCCCCTGCCCCAAAAAATGACATACTTACACTACTTTATAGTTCATACAGTATATAATGATTTCTAGAACAAAAACTTTTCATTCATAATTAATTTTATTTGTTATAATTTTAATTATAAAATTTCCTTAACTTCATACTTAATTTTTTTTTTGGAACACACATTGTATTAAGTACTAACACAAAATATGCATATTACCTTTTCTTTGTATGTAAACGAGAATAAAATAAAATTTCTGTAGAATGGATTTAACTCTCATTATTTCAAATAACAAATTTTTTAATACGTTGAAGATAAACGTCATAAAAATTAGGTAGGTACATAATAAATACCACAAGTTAATAATTATTTTAATTGTCATGATATATAATAATTTAGGGTTTGAGTATTAATCGAAAACTGTTCATTTTGGTTTTATATCCTTTAGGGTATTAAGTTACTTTATGTATGATATTTTTACGATCATTTACAAATTAATGATCATGCTTGAAAAGCCAAAGATCACGATTTAGTCTAAGATATTTTTCAAAAATAATACTAACTGGTTGCTGTACTTTAGTCAATTATATTTTCTTTATATGAAAAGTATGTAACTTCAATAGTATACTTGAGGCTTTTTTAACGTTAAGACGTATAATTTTATTGTATTATTCCATTTATTACTTCAGTTACATTAAATGAGACAAATTCAAGGACAAGTCTTATTTATTAAATATAAACGATAAATTAGGCTTTAAGTTAGAAATAATTTAGCTAGTTTAAAAAAGCACAGTTAATGATAACTACTATTACTATAAGTTAGTTTTCTTTTGTATGTTATTTTAATGATAATATGATAAAAAATAAATTCTTCAAATTCTAAAGGTTTTATTGGAAATTTAAAATGATAACCGTAATATTTACAGTAAATATGGCTAAATTATAAACATACTTCTTTTACGCATAATTTATATATAAATGCTCTAAATGTTTTTAGTAATTATAAGTAATTAATACACATTATTACATATTATGTATATTAATACTAAACTTTTTTTTCATTGAGTCGGGTATACTTATTTCTATAATTTTGTTTGTTAAACTAAAAATTTTAATTTGCATAAAAACTTTATAAAAATCAAAACTCACCCTTCTAAGAGTTTAAAAAAATAACTTTGTTTAACAGTTTAAAATGTTGATAAAAAAAAAACTTTATTTTCTATTATTTATAATCCCGTGAACTTAAGTCAGTGATCATTTAATTATGAGTATTTTAAATTTCAAGTTTCCTATTTATGAAATTATCTTATTATTTGACTTTTATCTCTTGAATGTGTTGAATCGTCGTACTTTTAAAATGCCCTCAAGAATTATATTTTATACAATTCAAACCTTTTCGATTTCAAATGAAACGAAGAGTGTTTTGGTTATCTTACAAGTTGCAATGGTGTTATTTACATTTTTGTTGAACATTATTTTAGAAAGAGTATTGAACGAGAAGCAACTCATTAGGAAATTGGACATAAAAAAAAAAAAAACTGTATTTAAAAAATTTGGGCTTTTAGTTTCAGCACGCAAAAGACATAATGTTAAATTAATTTTCACTTTTATTGACTAGTAGGTACTTATTAATCAGAATATTTACAGTTCCTGAATCACTCGTTTTGTCATTGAAATCATGCCACAGCCAAAATATATTTTAAACACGATTTGATGTACTATTATGACGGCTAAATAATAATACTTAATATTCATATCTTCAACAGTAACGCTAATGGACGGTCAAACATTGTAGATAGATACATTTATTGTAATTAGACGGGCATGCGATGGGGGAATTTTTAGAATAATGTGTATATGACATAAAAAATTAAAAACGAGCTAACGATTCAAAAAAACTAAAAAGAATAATATTATGTGAACACTCAACGATCCTTAGAATAACTATTATCACTACGACAGATTTTCCCCTGGCGCTCCACAGAAGCGAAAAAAATTCAATATTTACATACTTGTTTCAACATGACATGTAACGCAATCATAGCGTGTAAATATAAAAAAAGAATATGTAAACACCATATGCTACATATATGCACACATATATACATACATTCACACATACATGCATACATACATACATGCATACATACATACATACATACATCCATACATACATACATATTGTATAAACATTATAATGGATACGTCTCCTTACCACCATTACCATTACCTGTGGTCTGTGATGAACGCTATGAAACACGTCTTAGCAAACGAGAAAATATCAAAATATCAGCCAAACTGTCAAAGGCGTTTGTCACGTCTGCGTACGTATATTGT